AGCATGATGGACATTTGCAGAGCAGTGCAAGCCCTCTGGAGCAGGGACAGAGGGGCTGAGCTCTGGGACAGGGACAGCAGTCCCAGCCCTTTGAATTTGCCCTTGGGATTTCCCTCCTTTGGGGAAATCAAAATGGTTTTGTCAGGATCCCTGACCCCCTGAGCTCAATCCTCTAAAATGTGAAAACAGAGGAGCAGGAGCAAGTTTAAGCGACTCTAAACCCAAGCTCGGTACTTCATATTCATCATTTAGATTCTGCAAATGCTAGTGAGAGCAAGGCTTATTTGTTGATGCCTGTTTGCAGGGGTTTATTTGCTTGAAAAGGCTAATCAGCCAACTGCTTAAATATAAAGGAAAAGGGAGAAAATATTCAAAGCTATTCAGATGAGGTGCCATGGTTTGAGTTTTGATGTCAGTGTGCAGCCAACTGACAAATGCTGAGCCACAGTCTGGTGTAAATCCAGATGAATTCCACTAGAATCAACAGACTTCCTTCCAATTTATTCTGATGTAACAGAGACCATGATATTTCCATTCAGATTTACATTAGATTTGTTTCCTGTTTTCCATAATTCAGTCAGTTTCCATTGTGTACAAAAGCAGCCTGGGCCAGATCTTGATTTTATTTGCATCAGATGAAAACAGTTGTTTCAAATGGAGCTACACTGAATTTATAATTGCATAAATAAGAGCAGAATCTGATCTATTCCAAGAGAGAATTTCCCAGGGCGTTGCTGTGTGAGAGCACTCCTGCTGTGGTGATCAGGTGCTTTGCCATTGATTTCAATGGAAAAATTCCATCTAAATCCTGCACTCAAGCCCTGAGCTTGAGCTGCTTTGCACACCCAAGGCCCAGAAGTCCCTCTTTGCTCCAGAAGATCAGCCAATAAGCCAACACCTCCATCAGCTCATGGCCTGACACACAAACACCATGGACAGCCTGAGGAAAGCATCAGGGTGGGAAGGGCTCAGCCTTGCCTGGCAGAAATCCTCCTCCAAAGATGGATTTCGTTGGCCACTCACATCATTTATAACCCAAGTGCTCCGTGTTGACTTTCTCCTCCCTACTGAGTTTCCTCCCTTGAGGCCCTTCTGAGTCCCCTTGTTCCACTGTAATTGGAATTTTAGGAGCAGTGCAGTTGTTCCCTGGCAGCTCAGACTGCCCGTGCCAGCAGCCACACCACCAGTAACAAACTGGGTTATTAGCAATAACCAATAAGATTGCTATTCCCAGCAACATGTGTAATCAAGTGGATTTACTCCTCCCCATCGAAGCTGCTTATTCCACTGCTAGCAGGAAAAATAAGGCCATTTAAAGTCATTTATGGTGGTTGCAAAGGCTTTTCTGAGCAGATACACAAGTTGTGTTGCCACAGCTGCCAGGAGGACTTTGAGCCCAGCTCATCCGTCTGCCTCCACCGCGCCTCGCGCTCGTTCCTGGCTGTGCCCTGGAAGGCAGAGTTTCCATGAGACATGGACAGGCACTGCTCTCACTCTGGGCCTCACAGGTGGGGCACAAACTCAGGTAACCCTCACAATGCTGACCTCCAGCTCCAACCACACAGATATTCCACCCCAGCTCTCAAGGGGGAGAAATATTCAGCTTCATTCTCTGTTACCCATGGCCTGGGGAAATGCAAGGCAGATCTGCAGTAAAAGCAGCTGTATCAACAAAATATCACTTTACATGGCTATGATTTGCCATCTGACATGAAAACACACCTCTTCCATTTGGCTTTTCAGGCTCCTGTGTGTTTAATTCCACAGTAAATTTAGATTCCATTACAAATCTAAATATTTCTCTTCGTTTACGATATTCAGCACCAAACATGGGAAAAGCAGAGACAAGAACAACTGCAATGACACCAATGACAGCATCACAATCACAAGGCCACCGGGATTAGGAGCACATTTTTGTGGCAGATTGAAATTTCAGCATCTCTGTGCTTCTCCCTCGTCACATCATCCCAGCCCCTGTGCAGAGACTGGCAATTACCCCGTGGGTTTGGCCTGTGGTGCACGAAACAGAGCCTTGAAAAAACAAAAAAAAAATAACACAAAACAAGGCAATCATGGAATTTCCAGAGTGGGTGGAATCTGTCTGTTAGGTTTGCACACACACACACACCCTCAAGGCAGCTTTACATCGAGTTTGTGCCCATAAAACACAAAGGCACAACAGAGTCTCTCCTCCTGATCCCTCAGAGAGCAGAGTTGAGGCCATCACACCATAGCAAAGGTTGACATAACTGTTTATGGGGGGTGCTGTTCCCCACAGCTTTCATTCCACGGTGTGATTTGCATTACAACTGGATCCTCATTGTCCATCCCAGCGGGCAAAGAGCAATCTGGTACAGGTTACAGCAGCAAAGGAAAAGCAGTGGTGTCACAAAATGGGTACCACCAGCAAAGGCAGCCTTTGGCAGGGCTGATTGAACAGAGCAGCACTGCCTGGAATCAACAGGAGCCCCCCAAAAAAACCCCAGCACTGAAGAATTCTGCTTAAACAAAGCAAAAGTGCCAGAAACCCTCTCATGGTGCTGCTCCCTGAAGGTCTTAGCACGGAGCTGAGCTGGTGCCACTGTCCTGGGAGAAGGGACATGGAAGTTAGCACAGAACACAGCCCTGGGCAGGTAATCATTGGTATAGACTTTATGTATGACAGGAAGTTTATTCATATATTTTTATTAAGAAACTTATTGCTCTTTTATAGACTAGTTCACCACAGGTTGACTTAATTGGTTTTTTTACTTAAAACACTATTAGAATTGGTTAATAACGAAACTACATTTTGGTAAACAAATCTTTATCACACATTTTACATGTTTTACAATACAAGGTGCAGCAAGTTAAGCTAAGGATTGTTTCTCATTCTTTTCTCTGATCTTCTGACAGACTTTTCCCAGGACTTTTCCCTGGGAAAGTTGTGTTTGTGTCTGTGGCCACAAGGGAAGGGACGCACTCAGGGGCTGTGAGGGACATGGGGGGACACAGGAGCCCCTGCCAGGCTCTGCTGGTCCCACTGGCAGGTGACAAGGCCCAAACGGCCCCAGCAGTGCCTGACACAGCCCCAGCAGGAAGAGTGTGGCTCTGAAAAGCAAAGCCTGGGGCTGGAACCTTTGAAGGAGAACAGTCACAGGCACATTTTATGAAAATCCTTTCCTTGGGAGTTTTTTTCTTCCTCCTGAGAAGCTGAGAGGCCTCAGGAGCAAAATGCAAACAATGGTTATCTGCTGCTGTGGAATGCAACAGGTGGGTCTGGGATTGGCCTCATGTGGTTGTTTCTAATTAATGGCCAATCACAGCCCAGCTGGCTTGGACTCTCTGTCTTGGACTTTGTAAGCTTTTGTTATCATTCCTTCTTTTTCTATTCTTAGCCAGCCTTCTGATGAAACCCTTTCTTCTATTCTTTTAGTATAGTTCTAATGTAATATATATCATAAAATAATAAACCAAAAAAACATAAAATAATAAACCAAGCCTTCTGAAACATGGAGTCAGATCCTCGTCTCCTCCCTCACCCTCAGGCCCCTGTGGACACGGACACAGAGAACACCTCCAGGGCTGTATTGCACTCACATTCCAGGGGAAAATGCCACACAGGCTGGGGGGGAAAATGGCACAGAGCTGCCCCTGGGCCCTGCAAGGAAATGAGGAGCAGCTGCCCTGGGCTGGAGAGGGCCTGCAGGGCTTCTGGGGGGGGGAAATCCCAAATGAAGGGGGCTCAGAGGGCAGTGACAGCCCTGCCTGAGAGCCTGGGAGTTCAGCCCCTGTGCTGGATTCTCCTGGATGTGCAAAGAGCTGTGGTGTTCCCAGAGCTGCTAGTGCAGACTCATGGATTAGTAGGCAGGGCAGGAAATTCAACGAGGTGGGTGAATTAAAGCCAGACTTCACAAGCTGCATCTGTTCCTCCATTCCCTCTGGATCCAACACTGATGGCACTTTAAGGAGTAAATTTAGCCAGGAAAGCTTGCCGGGCTGACGGCCCTGTAACCTGAACCATGCAGGAGGAGCACACGGGAGCCACTGGGACGTGCCCCAGCCTGAGCTGCCTGCCTGGAGCACAGCTGCTGCTGCTGGAGATGGACCTGCCTGGGCTTGTCTTCTGCTCAGGATGCTCATCCTGGGAAGGCCTGGCTGCAGCTCCGAGGAGGAGGAGGAGGAGGAGGAGGAGGAGGAGGAGGAGGAGGAGGAGGTGGACGTGGACAGTGTGGGATCTCAGCACATCGCTCCCGATGTCCAGAGATGCCAGGAGAACCCTTGGGGGTCTCGAAAATCCTGGAATGTTGCCAAGAGTGTTTGGTGGCTTGATTTTGATCCATCCACAGAAGTGACAAGAGTTTGAGGACAAGAGAATCACTTTAGAGTAAAAGGTGTAAAAGAGACACATTTAGAGGGTGAGATATAGACTTTAAGGTTTTTGGTACAGGGGGGTTATGGAGACAAGATGGAGGGATCAGGGCGTGTCTTGTCCTTCTTCTTTCTTCTTCTTGTCCTCCATCTCCTGTGATGATGTTGGCACTTAGAGATTGGTTTATGGTGAAGGTGCACTTGCTAACATGGGTGAAGAGCATTGGGAAATAAAGGTAAATATTGTGTACGTAGATTTTAGTATAAAAAGACATGACCGCCCCGTGGGTGGTCAGAGAGTGCCTGTGACTGCTTGCAGATCAGACCTCTGTTGGGCAGACAGAAAATTTTGTAGATAAGAAATAATAAACAACCTGAAGACCGAAAAACTGAAGAGTCCAGACTCGTCCTTTGCATCGCGCCCACCAAAGAACCACCCTGCCCGTGTCGGGGCAGAGACAGACAGACAGCCAGACCCGACAGGACAGCAGTGCTTTGGGTACTCCAGTGTCTGTGATGCTCCATCAGCAGCAGGATCCCAGAGTGACACAGTCCCCACAGGCAGCAGTCCCAGGCACAGGGCAGCCCTGTGAGGGTGCAAACTTCTCCATCTTGCAGCACGCCCAGGACCTAACACACCTCCAGTGCTGCTCGTCCACACCTGTGTTCACAGACAAGGGAAGCAGCCATTTCACAGCAGTTCTTACTGCCAGCAGCTCTTCTGGTATCCAGGCAGCTCCCCACAGCAGCACAGTTAATTTAGTCATTACAGATATCCCCCTGAGCTGCAGAAAGCCTTCCAGAGCTGACCAGAGCTGCCAGCTACGGGCAGGAGGTGTTAGAGTAGGTCCTGGACCTAATCCAGCTCAGGTCAGTTTGCCTTTTGCAGAAAGGCAAAACTCCAAAGAGCCTGGCTGGTTTGGAAGGACCTAGGAAATCAAGGGGAGACAGGACATCTCAAATAAAAGACTTATTTTTCATCTAGGTGTGTCCAGAAGAGGATTGGAAGCATCCCTCTGCCCATTTGGTGATCCAGCCTTCTTGGCCAGAGTCAGGTAAACCCCCAGTGTCTGAATCCCACTACAAAAAGTGGTTTCTACCTATTCTGAAGAGGTGTGACCCCACCACTCAGCAAGCACTAAGGATACCTGCAGCCTGGAGTAAGAGGCAGCATGGGGAGCACAGGCAGAAGAGGCAGTGTAGAAGCACTGAGTAAAAGAGAGAATCCCTCTGTCTTGCCAGCATGGGACTGGAAATGTGAGGGAACAGATTGGGTTTTGGGGAGAGTTCTTCCCCCCAAGGCTGCTGGGCACTGCCCAGGCTCCCCAGGGAATGGTGCCAAGGCTGCCAGAGCTCCAGGAGCCCTCAGGGGTGCCCAGGGTGGGGTTGTTGGGGGTCTGGGCAGGGGCAGGGGCTGCTCTGGATGATCCTGAGGGTCCCTCCCAGCTCAGGGTATTCCATGATTCACCACTGAAGCTGCACAGCTCTGTCAGCAAAGCATTCAACAAACCTCTTGCAGTGAAAAACAACACAATAAACAGGAAAACAAAAAAAACCAAAACCAGTCAGTTCTTGTTCCTCAGAGCACAGCCCCTGTTCCCAAGTGTCTTGCACTGGATTGTGGCATAGAGGAAAGAAGCAGAAATGCCTCAAATAGATCCAGTTGGTTTTACCTCTTTTTATGCTGGTCCTGTGGCTCTTTCTAGGTGGTTTTTTCCTACTCTTCCCCATGTGATGAGATGCATCATTTGAAGGGCAGCAACCAAACCAGCTCCTCCTGCTCTGAAGAAAGGCAGCAACTGCACTTAGAATAAAAGATTGTCTGGCAGATTTGAGGTGTCAGTCAAAGCCTATCTCTGAAAAAAACATTAGTCCAGGCAGCTCCCCACACCAGCACAGTTAATTCAGTCTTTCCAGATATCCCCCTGAGCTGCAGAAAGGCTCCAGAGCTGACCAGAGCTGCCAGCTACAGGCAGGAGGTGTTGGAGTAGATATTGGACCTAATTCAGCCCAGGTCAGTTTGCCTTTTGCAGAGTAAAAGACTGTGATTATCAAGCCCAGGGAAGCAAATCCTGGCTTTGTGAAGCAAGCTGTACCTTTTACTTTACCTTTTACATAGATTTAGAACTCTGTTGTTCAGTGTGTCCCATCTCCAGTGGCACACGTCCACTTCAATATTATTATTCTAATTTTAATTATTATTTGTGGCTACAGCCAGGGCTGTATGAGGCACTTCCCAAGCACTCAGGAAAGCACTGGCTCTGCTCCAAGAAATTCATTATTTCAGGATAGACAGACATGCAGAGGCACTGCATGGTCAAGTGGCAGAACTGCTGACCCAACAGTCAGTACCTGCCTTGCTGGTTGACCTTGGAAAACTCACATTCCTTCTTCCCACACTTAGTCCCATCCCACCCTTTGTCCACCCCATTTGCTTAAAAAATGTTCAAGCTGTGACTGTGTTCATGTTTTTGTCTCAGAATCTTCTTGGGGGGAAATGTTTTTGTTCTTTGAGAAAAAAAAAAAGAAAATTAAAAATTCTGTTTTCCATAGCATTTTTTCTCAAACGCTTGTGTTGGAAGAAAAAGCATCAAATGTTTTCTCATGGCCAAAAAAACCCCAGAAAATTCAGACTGGGCATGTTTGCTAAGAGTTGCCAGTCACTGGGATTTTCTGGTGAAAGTACTGTAGAGATTAGCAAAACATCCATTTTGTTTTCCTGAAAATAAGTTTGAACCTAAAAATCAACTTGTTCTGTGAGTAAGAAACGGGTGAAACCCGTTCTTCCTCTGATTTGTATTACAACTGCTTTTTATTTCTCCCTTTCTTGGTGCTCCCAGCTTACTGCAATATCCTCAGGGCCCCTGATGCCCTCCAGACCTGCCCAGAAAAATCCTTGGCTGCTCCAGCAGCTTTTTGCTTTGCAGGGAAGGGGGTGGCAAGTGCAGGGGGGCTGGTTGGAAGCTGGGCAGGAACTGATTGACCAGTCATATCTAAATGCCAGCTGGTCACCTGGCTGCTGCATCCCAAAACAGGCAGGGAGCCAGAGGTGTAATTACCTCCCCTTCAATAGAATATTAACTTAAATGTCTCTCTTCTATCCAACCGCTGTTTGCTCATGAAAATTGCAGGAATCCTGGGTCTGTGAGACCTCTCTTTTTCCATCAGGTTGGGTTGAATCAGGTCAGCTGGTTCAGAAGTTATTGGAGCAGGGGAAAGGGGGGGACCAGCTGCAGATAGAAGAACACAAGGGGAGGCTCATTGCTGTGTAAACCCTGGCTCCAAAATGAGGCAGTTTTGGTGCACCTGTGGGTCCCTGAGATCAGGTGAGTGGTGGCTGTGCCAGAACTCAACCTGTCCCTGTCCTCTGGGGAGGCTGCCAGGCTCCAGGACTGTCCCTAGTGCGCTCACCACTTTCTGCTGTACAAAACCTGGAAATGGGGCTCCACTGGACAGAAAGTGTTCTGGAGCCCAGACAGTCCACAACCTGAGTTATTGACACCTGGATTCACAGGCTGAAAGGGAAAAATCATTATCTCTACATTATATATGTAAGAAAACAAAAGCCAAGACCAGCAACTTACTGCAGGATCCTGAGATGGAGTCAGGAGGAGGCTCGGATGTCCCATGTCCCATCTGGGGCCCTAAGCAAAGCCCACCTCAGCTCCTTGCTGCTCCATGTCCCAGGCAGAAATTCCCTTTTCCTGGGCATTTCTCACTGCTTCATTGCTCTCAGGAGCTGAGTCAGGCTCACCACACTCCTCCTCCATTGGCAGCTGGGTGCACATGGCATGCTGATGAGGAAACACTGTTTGTTGCTTTGTTTGGGTTCATTATTCATGGGCACCATGCTGGAAACACTCGGAGCTGCTTCCTGAACGGTCCTTGAGCTGGCGTGCAGGAGGGACTTACCAGCACTGGTGGCCAGGCTGCCTTTCCATGGGCCAGCTCTCTGCCATCTGCTTCCTGCAGCCCTTGTCACACTCCCCATCCCTCACGGCTTGGGCTCTGCTCTTTGGCATTATCTGAGTGAGAAAGAGGCAAACACTTGGAGCACTACAGAAACGCAATCAAAAACGGCATTTCACCAAGCAGGCACTGACCCCAGCATGGGGAGAATGTAAAGCTCATCCTCTGGCTGGTTTTGTTCTTCAATCACATTAAACAACTCAGAATAAGCCACTTGCAGGGTTTCAAACCTGTTTATCCTTCCACAGAAGATGCCTTCACCCTCCTTCAGATAACCCCCAACTGTCTGAAACCTTTTTCTCATAGGCAAGGCTCTTCCTCTTTAGTGCCTGCTCCTGGAAATCCATTTTTCATCTTAGGACAAGGGTGGTCTGCAGCTTTAGGAGCACTTTGAGAATGTTTGCAGCAAGACAGAGCTGGAGCTGCTCTCAACACGTTCACCCTCAGGCATTAGCACCAAAGGCAGCTTCCAGGGGTTGTGGTCTATCAACATCTTCTGACAGGGGCCCAGACCCTCCAGAGAAGGCCTAAACTTAGCAAAGCAGAATTCTTTTCTAAGTTACTCTTCTGAAAACCCTTAGAAATCACCCAGTGCTATCCCCTGGGGTCTCCAGAACAGAACCTGAAGCTCTTCCAGGTTTGTTGGGGTACCTCTTGGGGGCTGGGATTTGCTTGGAGAGCTCATTATCCCACCTTGGACTGCAACTAAGAGCAGGGCTGAGTCTTTTGACTCCTGTGAATTGCTGTTTGCAATTATGTTTTCATTTTATGACAAGGAACTGAGCCTGTGCTGCAAGTATTTCACCAGATCTTAGAGAATTTCAAAGCCTGTGGGGTGGGAGTTTTTTGCTGTGTTCTAGCAAAGGATCAGTCTAGTGAGGCTGATATCAGCCTCTGGTTGGGTTTTCTGTAAAACCCAGAGCAGGATTCATATTTCAGCACTTTCTTCTTCACTTGAAATTCCAGGGGATTTTGACAGCCAAGGGTTTGCTGTGAGCCCACCCTGTAGCCCACACCTGTCCCATGAAACCCCGTGACACAGGAGGGGGGATTTACCCCAACTGGGCAAAACCCTCACCTGATGTAAATCAGCACAACCACAGGGCAGCCCAGTGAGCTGGGCCACACCACACCAGAAAGAAACCCCCGTTAGGATGTGCTTCCCCTTCATTAATTCTTTGCCTAGAACCAAGACAGACCCCTGGGGATGTATCAGCTCAGTTTCATCTGCTGCAATCCCAGGCAACGGCGCAGGGAGGAATTCAAATCCTGTGCACCGCGTTCTCTACCACTGCAACCCTGTGCTTCTGTCAAATGAGCTTCTTGGGCTGAGCAATAAGTAAAGGAGCTAAATACAGGTGTGACTGTCTGACCCGTGTGCTGTGAGGTGTCAGCAGAGGTAACTGCACTAATGCTTTCAGAACTTAAAAATCACTTAACTGAGGACACCAGAAGAGAGCTTGGCCCGTGAATAATACACATAAATACTAGAGATGCAGTCAGCCCCCCACCTGGCTGTTGCCTCAGTAACACATCTCTGGGAGGATATTTTTAAGCCAGTATTATTTATCTGGTAGGTGGAAGCAGACCTGTTAAGGCCATACCAGGTCAGCATATGTCTAAGCATGTACTGAAGAACTTAATTAGTTCTCCCTGAGTAGAGAGACTCCCAGTGCTATTTAGAGGATGGTTATCCCACTGTGAGGGGCCTCAGAGCCTGCTGCTAGGCCTCAGCTTAACAGGGCAAGGCTGGAAGAGCTGGATGGGGGTGAAAAGTCTCCCTTTCATGCTGAGGAGTAATTGCTGAGCAACCGCAGGAGCGGGAGGGTCAGTGCCAAGAGCAGGCATCACAAAACCACTCTGAAACTCAGAGTAAAAAACTTACTTCAGGGTCAAATTGTGTAGATCCCATGACTTTTGTTTGTTTGTTTGTTTGTTTCTAGAGGTCCAACATCACCTGCTGTGCTTGGTGGCTGCGTCCCAGGTAATTCCAGTGACAGTGAGCAGGGCTGACAGGACAGTGGTGCAGGTGTGGAGTGAGCCACTGCTGAGGGCCTGTCATGATGTCCTTATGTCACCACAGAGTCAAACATAGGCAGGAGCTCAGCAGCAGCTAAACTGGACCTTGTGCAAGTGGCTCAGTCACCGTTTTCATTTACAGTTCCAAAAAATCAGAGGCTCTAAACTGAGTGCCAAGAAGGGAATGCAATGGGCTCCCCAAGGATGGATGGGTTTGTTATTCTGGAGGTAAAATATCCATCCTGGAGTGGATGGGCCTTTGGAAAACCAGACTGAGCAGCCTCTGAAGAATAAAACAGCTTCCCAAGCATGTCAAAGCTTCTGTAAGGACTGGCACTCACAGAGGACACTGGGGCTGGAGAGGGAGGAACCTGGACATGCTTATTTTGACTTAAGAGTGGCTCCAATACACAGCGTGGGACCTTGGTGTGCTCTTGGAGCTGTCAGGAGTTTTTCCTGGATGAGTTGTTATGGTAACTGAGCTAATGCCCTGAGATAGATGCTTTCAGGTGGCTCCAGGCCAGAAAATCAACACCAATAGATTCCAGATAATAGACTTCAGCTGAACTCAGTGCTGGCGTCTACTTTATTTAACCTATTCACCAATGACTTCCTGAACCCCATTCTCCAGGCAAGCCATGTATGATGAGAAAAGCTGCCTGGCCTCAATGAACCCCAGCTTCCAAAAGGCTGAGGGGACCCCATGTCCTGCGTGGCTGAGTCTGTGCCAGTAAATCAAATGTGCCTGGGACATTCTCCTGCATTCAGAGGACAGCTGGCACAGAATTACCAAGGTTTTCCTGTTAAATTCTCACTCTCCAAATCTGTGGGGACACATCCAGGCATCCCATAAGGGGCAGTCCCTGGCCCATGCTGGCTACTGAAATGCACCTGGACTGAGCCAAAAATTGCAGTGGAATACTCCATCATTGTAAGAGAGAGGAGTCCAGGCAGTGCTTAATTTATCAGCACAGACCTTGCCTGGGTGACTGCAGGAGAGGAGCCTGGAACCAAGAGCAAAGGCTCTGTCCATGTGCTTGTGCTTACACCACACACAGATCCAGCTGGAAGATCCCCAGGAACAGGCAGTGACAGGCACAGTGGGCATGTCTAGGGATTGCTCTGGATCAGCCACTGACATCCTCTGCTTGAAACAGCTCCTGGGTTAAGTGGAGGATTCACCAGTTCAAGGCAATATTCCTCCGCCTCCCACTGAACATCCAAACACAGCCAATAAATGGTCAGCAAGGAGCAGCTGATTCCACGTGCCCACCAGCCAGCCCAGGTCAGACTGTGTCACCAATCACACACTCTGGGCCAGAAGGCTGAGAGGCCAAAAGCCCCAACTTTACTGAAACTGCTTCTTTTATTCCCTGGTCCCATACAGGTGGACCTGACTGGTCATTTAACATCCAGCACATTTCACATGACTGGCTAATTAACGAGACACCGTTTGTAAACAGCCTTATGGGCAAAACAGCTTATTACAAAACACCAGATTGTCTAGAATTCTTTCTCTCCATCTCCCTCAAGTCTCCCAGGTTGATTCATGGGAAAACTTATCTGGCTTTCTCTCTCTCTGACCAGACCACTGCATCCACCTCCTGTTCGGTGGTGCTCCAACACAGCCAGCAAGGAGCTCCAAGGAGACAAAACCCAGGAAGAGTCATGCCAGCTTCAGAGCTCCCACATCACCACCAGACCAGCTGAGCAGCTCCCTGGCCCTGCCTCCAGAGCCTGCCAGACGGGTTCTGCCGTGGTGTGGCCCCCAGTGCCAGCACTGAGCATGCCTTGGGCGTTTGGGACAGCCCATTGCGTGCCCGTGGATGCTTCTGCAGCCACGCTGGGTGCTTCTGCTCATGCCAAGACCCACTGCTGGTCTCCTGTTAGGCACTGATGGCTTCAACACCACATGCTGGCCCGTGGCCACTGAGCTGGGGCATTTCTCTGCTTGTTCATTCCCATTTCAACTGTTGCTTTGCTTGTTTTACCCACTGGCAAACCATGTTACTGTAATATGTCACTCTGTAGGGCAGGAACTGGTTTTGAGCGAGTTCTTTTCTCAGCCTCTACTGCAACTGGATTGCAATTTCAGTCAGCACAGCAGTAATGTGATTAACAGGCTCTGCACAAAGGGGAATTGCATCCTAGGTGGATGTGATATTTGCAGTTCTGGCCAGCCCATGTGTTTTCCCAGGGCGAGAGGTCATGTTGACTGATCTCCAGAACGGCTTGCTCGAACTTTTAAACATTAAGGTCTAAATAAATTTTCAGCATTAGCTGGTATGCTGATCCCTTTCCTGCCAAGCTGCCGCCTTAAGTGAATTTTTATGACTAAGTTACAAACCCCAGAAAGTACGAGCAAGAAGTGGAATTGCTGACTTGGCCTTTGCTAAATGCCAATTATCTACAAAGGCATTAGGCAGGGAGGGGAGGATGAAAAACAGGGTCATTTTCATGTTTTCTCAGGTTCAAAGCAAACTGTCCCGTGAGCCCATTGCAGGAACACACAGCATGCAGAGTGACCATTAATATTTATAGGCACGACACTGAGCTGCAGACCTTGGCAATCACAGCAACTGCACTTTTGGAATTAATAGTGCTCTGTTTGGCTGGTACCTCGGTACACAAAAGGAAGGAGGAGACATCAAGATTTTCAGGGAGAACTGAAGAAGTAGCTGGGCAGGGATCCATACTTCACTGAGCTGCTGAAACACTAAAACCAACTCTTAAATCCTCAGGACTGCTGGCTAAATGCAGCACCATGTTTTCACTCTCCTCTCTGCTCCTGTGGCTCCTAGACAGTCCCAGCAGTACAGGGCTACTCTTGTTATAATCCCCATGGTTATTCACTGGTTATTGCCCAGCTGATACACACCAATGTATTTCCAAAGACACTCCTGGTGCAGCATGGATTTATAACACCTAAAGATCTGCCTGAGTGATCTTAAGACCCAAATTGGTCCTGTAATCTCAGTTACAATGCAGCCTTTTCCCACTCTGTATTTCCTAAGTCCCAGTGGCAGCGAAAGACAGGCATCTGAAATCCTCTAAACCTCTCTGTGCTGAGTCACAACCTGCCCTCAGCCCAGGGCTGCCTGGCTCCACATCTCAGAAAAATCTCAGGGAACTATCCCACCATAGCTCAGTCACCCCTTTATGAACCTTTAGAGAAACGTGTCCCCAGTATCTGGGCATTTACAAAAATGCCTCTGGGAGTGGGTGAGGTTGGCACAACCCAGTAATCCTTTATGTCAAAAAAAAAACTCAAGGAGACATGAGTTCAGGTAGAGACTGGGCACTCCCCACATTGCACCCAGGCCTGGAAAAAGCAATAGGAGATTGGCCAAAGGTGCTAGTTTAGGAACCAGGAAGGTTAGCAGGAAATCCATGGAGAAAAATATTAGAAATACCACTTTGTTTTTAATGTACTCACAAAAATTGAGCTGGGACTTTGAGCAACAGGCTCCAGATTTTCAAAAATGGCCAGTGACTGCAGCTGGGCCCTCTGAACTCAGCACACCAGGGCAGGATCTCCTGGTGAGTTTTGCATTGCTGCAGCATGTGGGAAGGTGCACAGCACCTTATGGAAAGGTTTCCTTTTTATGGGAACCAGGCATCTACCAAACAAGCATCAGTATGTGCACTCCATCAACTCAGACCCTCCAAATCCTTTTTTACTTTCAAAAATTAAGACTGCAAAAAGTAGGAAAATAAATACTGGAAACAACAACAAATAGAAGTGCTTCTGCCATTAAAAACCAGGTGAAAAGGAGGAGCTGAGCCAAGTTAATCAGAGAACTGAAATGAGATGTTGGAGAAAAGGGCCGTGGGTAACTTGGGGTTTGCAGTTAGCTGAGTGATGTGAAATCTCCTGTGTCTGGCTGAGCTCTGAAAGGAAATGCTTTATTAAATCTTCTTTGTGTGAGATTTCAAGCTGCCTCTGGACTGGAAAATAGGACCATTCCAGTATGTGGGATATAATCAGGAACTGAAGTCTTTAGTGCAGAGTTTTCTGCAGAGGAAACTCTGATCAGCATAGACACATAACTCAGAGGGCTCAGGATTTAGAGAGATGAATTAGGCACCACATACCCACAACATACCTCTTCTAGCCAGTATCCCCAAAATGCTTCACAGAATTAATCATGCTGGCAGCAACAACCCGGCATTAGGAAAGACAGTGCAGGTGGGCATAAATTCACCACACTGAATCAAAGCTGTCCTGTGGGCCAGTGAGTCCAAGGTCCATTATCTCAGCTTTCATCCCCACCAGAGCACAGTGCTTGCCGTGATTGATCTCCCATGCCCTGGCTCTCCTGGGAGTCTCCAGTCTCACTGTACTTTCTGTGTGATTCAGACACATTTTGGGCAGCTGCAGCCTCTTGCTGTCCCTGTCCACACTGCCTGTGCTCCGCTGTAAGCTGGCAGCACCTCTCCTGTCACAAGGACTGTGCCACCCCCAAATACCTGCACAAAGAAGCAGGGAGACACGGGCACAACAGGACAAGAGAGAGGTTCCCAGAACTCTCTCCCATGTCCCACAACCTCCCCTGCCCTTTTTCTTGTCATGTTTCTCTCTCTGTGCTTGGCCGCGTATCCAGGAAAACGAGACCTGACCAGAGACAGGACAGGCAGGAGCAACCTCCTCTGAGCTGCTTATTTCACAGCACATGTCTGGATTTGAAGAGCCTGGGGCCTCAATCCTGCTGCAAATGGCAGCATCTGAGTTCCTGGTCTGCCTTCCACAAACCCTGACAAGAAAGTGTCCCAAGAGGCTGCGACACGCCGAGCGTTCCCCTTCCCCCAGGGCAGACGAGCTCCCTGCCTACCTTTTATTGCTGACAAGGAGGAGGACAGAACCATTCTGGATATTGGCTTCTTTGAGGGTCTCATGCTCCTCGAGCTGCCTGGAGTTGTAATAAAATGTCTTCTTCCAGGAGGTGATGCCCTCCCGCACCAGGAGAGCCCGCAGGTCCATCACGGTGTCCCTGGGCCGCACCGTCAGGGGCATCATCAGGTCCTCGTCAGCCAGGTGCACCTTGATGTGGTACCTCTTCCATCGGGACAGGCTCCTGCGCAGCGTGTCCATCCTCTCCGGCTCAGCAGGGCCACTGTGGCAGGGCAGAGCATCCAGCTGGGACAGCAGCGAGGCAGGGACGTGGCTCTGAAGAGGCTGGCTGCTGCAAACAGCCTCAAACGTCCTGCCAAACCTGTTCCTCCCAGTTGCCACGCTGCATGCTTCACATTCCAGGGAAGAGCTCACCTGGCTCCATGAGCCTGCTGGCTGGGAAACGTCTCCGTGAATCATTTCCACACACCCCTAAATCCCAGAATAATTACAGTGTCTTCACGAAGTGCTCTTCATTCCAATGGCTGGCAGAGGACTTTTAAAGCCAGAACCCCATAGACATTAGAAACGTGGGTGCATGTGAGAAATGAATGGGTTTAGCAACCTCACGTCTCCTGCTCTAAAAAGCTGCCAGCTGGGGAGAAGATCAGTTAGCAAAGTAGGCATTTAGCAACCTCACAGCTATTTAACATGGCCACTTTAATGAAGAGAAGTACAGCTGCATAGTGACAAATTCCTCACAGAGGAGAGCCACAGCACCCTGACGAGCCAGAGCCTGGCTGTGTGAACAGCTCTCATCGTTGCAGTGCAGATTCCCCCAGGAGATCTGCACTGTCACTGCTCACAAACAATCTGGGACCCTCCAGAAGGGGTAGGACTCATCCACTCCTCATCATACCCCCCTACATCTGACACTGACTCACATGAGCTCCCCGATGGTTCATTGTCTTGATTTCCTCTTCCTCTCAGACTGCTAATTGCAGGGCTGGGTGTCCTGGGCAGCGTCAGTGGGGTCAGCACCACAAACAGGTGGCACAGAGGCCTTGAAGTGCCAAGAGGAACCAGCCACACTTTGGGAAATACAAATGGCACCTCTGAAAGGAAGGAGCTGATGTCAGCCACGGGCTGTAATTGACTGATACTGCAAGGCAGACTCTGGCAGTCACAAGATGATACTTCAGAGCAAACACTATGAAGATAAGGAAGCCTTTTTTGCTCTTTTTCTCAAAAAGATCAAGTCACCCTCTTATCTTGTAGGTAACTTTTCTGCAGCCCATATTACAGGCTTTAATTCCCTCGGCCATTCTTCTCAACATAGACCAGTATTTTCAGACCAAAGTACTGCAAGACTGTTGAGTTCAGGGTCTGCTCTTCACTAAAAAGGAGCTGCTCTCTTGCCCAGCAGATAACAAAACAGACTGATTTTCAGATAAGGCAGCAGTCAGCTCCCATTGAGAATGAGAGAAGTGTCCACTCTCCCATGGGGGAACAAGGAGGTTTCCACCTTTCCTCCACACCTCCCTTTTCCCTCCCCAGCAGCAGAACAGCAGCAAATATCCTCACTTGCACCACAACCACGGGCAGTGGAGATTTCCCTGTGCAGCTGAGAAGAACTGAAGCTTCCATTGCAGCATTTCTTTCCAGCTTGGGTCACTCCAAAGGTATGATTGTTTTGGTGGGGTCTGGGATTCCTGGGTCCTTGCTCTGCCGCTGAGCTGCTGCAAAGGCGTGAGATGAGTCATGTCATGCCTTGGTGTTTGTGTTTGCTCACCTCATGACTGCAGGATGGTGTAACACATGTTCATTAAGCACCTTGTGGGAAACAGGAACTGCGTTTAGCCCTGTCATGCTTTGGGAGCACTTAAGGATGCCTGGATTTACAAATATGCCAATAACCTTGAAGACAGAACATCACTACCCCTGTTGGAGATGGAGAAACTGAGGGATAAAGCTGTTAAAGCCAAGAAAAGGCAAAAGGTCAGGTTCTGGTCCCCATATCCAGGTACCTCAGTGAGGGGTCTCATTTTCAGACACCTGCAGAACCCCTCAAGCCCAGGGCCTGGTGATTCCTTCCCCATTGGGGTGACATCCACTCAGGGAGCCAAACTTCATCCCTGGTGTAAAGGCAGAGTCTCAGGGGTAAAGCAAGGGTCTGATCCAGTTCTCAGAGCCATCCAAGGGCAGCCTCTCATTGACAGCAGCCAGACCTGGCACAGGCCCCAGACTCACCGTGCTCTGATGGCTCTGGCCAACAGAATGTGCCCAGTGAGTGCCAAGGGGAGCATAAGGCATTCTCACTTCAGCAGAGCCTGTCTGGTGTCAGCGAGTCCATCAGCTCCATCCTTCAGCAGACGTGACAGCCTGACAGTTGCCAAATACCTCCCTCAGACACCTTTCAGACAGATCCTGTTTATTTTTAGGACAGCTCTTTCCCATCAAGGCTCAGATGCAAATCATTCTAGAAAAAGGGGGGATGGTGGCAGGAAGAAAGCAGCTATTATTTTTATTTCTTGGCCTGTGATGTGGTAGCAAACTTTCCTCATGTACCCCCATCTGCCCACATTGGGACCCTTCATTTTGTGAAAAGGGATGATATGCTGGCCTATGAAAGCAGCATAAGGAGAAGCACAGTAGTGAAGTCAGCTTATGAAATATTGAAGCAATGAAATCCTCACGGAACACGTGAATGCCTAATGCCAGTTTCAATTAATTCTGGATTTTTCATTAAACCACTATTAAAAGCAAAAGGACAGCAGAAATAAGGGAAATTGACTTGAGCAGTATATTAAATACCTAAGTTTTGCTTGAGGATGTTTTATTATCTGTCCAAAGCAATTATTTCACCAGCTCCTGATGGTTTGTAGGCCAAACAGAGGTATAGGGTAAAGTTCTATGTGGTCTTTCCTTAAAATTATTTTAATTTCTGTCCCCTACCCTGCACCTGGCAGCCTGTCTCTGGTGATGTCTCTGGTATGTCATATCTGGAGGATAAGACATGGAGTTCTGGGAATCTGTAATAAAGTGTCACTCTGGCATTATTTACAAATCAAATAAAAACTTGTTGACTTAAGCTTTTCCCCATATTGAGGGCAAACAAAAGACATGCAAATATTCAGAGACATTCATTAGGAAAGCCTGAAAAGCAATTTAAAACCCAGGTGGGCTGTGATTTTTTTTTATGGACAGAAGAAATAAAGCAACAGCATTTATAAAATATCTCCTCTTGTGTTCTCAGAGCTTCCTTACCCCATTGACTAGAGCAAAAGAGAAACACCTGCCTGAATTAGGTGCTTTGTTAAGATGTCTCAAGATGGTTGAGATGATCTTGGGCCTTACAACTTCTTCTCATAATGACAGAATAGAGACATTCATTCCCCAGGCAGGTGGGTTTTTGGTGGGGTTGGTTGTTTGACAGTGGCTGTTTTGCTGCTTGCTGTGCTGCTCTCCTTGAAAAGGGCAATAGAGAAGTGGGATGCTGCTCAATAAGAAAATAAAGGTTTTGATAAGGAAATCAAGGTTTCAATAGGGAAATAAAGGTTTCTTTATTTTCTGGTAGCAATCACAGGGGAACTGAAACGTTTGAGAGAAATCTGATTGCCCTGGCAGAACCTGTAAGTCTTTGAGGAAATCACTCAGCCAGTGCTGTCATGCCAAGGCAGACCCTTTGCTGTTCCCTGAAGCCCTCTGATCCCAGGCCTTGTGCTCAGCAGTGCTGAACACTAAGGGTTCTCCTCTGATGTCTCTTTGGGGACACTTTGTGTTTGGAGGCAGAGAGAGAGCAAGGGATGAAGCACGGGAGGTGACCACCCTGCCCAGGCTGATCAGACTCTACCTGAACTTCCACAACACTAAAGGGGTACTAAAGGGTACTAAAGAGGGGCTTTTTGTCAAATTCCCAAAAGACTCAGCTCAGCTGGTGGGCACATGCTCAACCCAAACACTGTTCTCCTGCTCCACTAACCAAAGGTGCAGAGGGAAGGCTGCAGCACTGTGAGCTCTGACACCCAAACCAGGTGCTGGAGAGCAGGAGGCCAGGAAAGCTTCACTCATGGAGTGAATGGCTGTGCAGGCTTAACAGTGCTAAAACAAGGTTATAATCTCCAGTCCAATATGCAGCTGTCACCTAATTATTCAGTGCTTCAGATACCTCAGGTGATGGGGCAGCTTAAGGCAGAAATATTTCTATTTCTGAAGCACCAGAGGCCCCAGCCAGAGCTGTACCACCACGTGCCAGGATGAGTAAGGCCTTTCCTATCACTCAGTGCTTCTCTCCTCCTGAGATGTGCTTGGTTATGAAATGACTGGGCTCACTTGATATGTCAAGTTACATCTCCAGCAAATGAACAGAGAGATAATAAATGATTAATAAATGCTTTGAGAAATGAGTAATTAAATGCAACAGCTTTTTAAGAGTCCAACGGATAAGGACAAAATATGTAAGCCCAAGTGATAAGGCTTTCTCCTGATACAACTTATCTGCAGCACACTGCTCACATCTGCAAGAGGGCTTAGGAACACTAGTAACTTCTTGTGCACCAGGAAAAAAGAGCCTTTCTGTGATAGAGGAGCACTTCTCCTGGGGATTAAGACAAAATCCTCTTTGTTTAGGCATTTTAAATCCAGAGAAGCTGGAAGGTGCTCACTTTAATGTGTGAGGGATGACTGTCAAGCAGAGCCCCAGCCTCCCATCCTTGCCTGGCATGGGGGGAAGTGTCCACATCTTCCTGCCCTGTTCTAAGCCATGGTCAGGAGCTCTCCATCTGCTCCACCAGTATAATAGATTTTTTTTTAAAACGATGGTGCTGTCATTCTTTCTGCTACAAATGAGGATTTCTACCAGTAACACAGCTGAAGTCACCAAGTAAAGCAGATCCTGCTGCAAGTACCCAAATCAGATTCCAAAAGACCCCACAACTGCTCTGGCCAGCTGCCCAGCAAAAAAATTGCACTTCTGGGAGCTGGTGGACTGTTTGGCATGGAATTGAACTTCAAACAGGCTCCAGAAAAAAAAAAAAAGAAAAGCAAAAAGCTATTTATATTTAGTTTTGAAGGAGAAAACCTGCCTGGGTTTGGAACACAAATGAACCTGCAAGTTTTCTGAGCAAAAGTTGGATGTGAGTTGGTGACATTTTCTGGTGGAAAAGGCAATGTGAAGGAAAAAAACCCTGGTAATGCACATGTTAAATGAACCAGTCAAGTGCAGACAATGGAAAAGCTGAAAAATTGATATGGAGGAAAGC